ACTTGCGACTTAGCTGCTACTTTCTTGCGACTTAGCTGCGACTTTCTTGCGACTTTCCTGCTACTTTCTTGCGACTTTCTTGCGACTTGCTACTTCCTTTTGACTTTCCTGCTACTTTCTTGCGACTTAGCTGTCACTTTCTTGCGACTTAGCTGCGACTTGCTACTTTCTTGCGACTTAGCTGCTACTTTCTTTCGACTTAACTGCTACTTTCTTGCGACTTAGCTGCAACTTTCTCGCTACTTTCTTGCAACCTGGCTGCCTGGCTACCTAGCTGGGCCACGTGAGACGGCAGGCCAGGTTGCATTGCCGAGAAACAACATGGATTCTCCAGAAGAACAGTTACCGGAGGTTGACCAGGTATTTTGACACTTTTTCCTGTCTTTCGTACAAATTAGACAATTTAATAAAATTTAATAAAATTATTTAATAAAACAATTTAATAAAATTATTTAATAATTTTATTTAATGAAATTTAATAAAATTTAATAAAAACTTACCACCTGTTTCCTAGACGCATTTCCGCTGAGTTTGTCATTCCTATCTGTATATCCGTAGTTGTGTTCTTACGAAATGTAAACTCTTGTACGAGTTAGGTATATATACAAGGGCTTCGTGTTGTATTGTTGAACTCCCTGACGAAGTGTGCGTTAGTCACACGAAGCGCGCAGGAGAAATAAAGAAGTTATACAACTACAGTTCGCAGAGTGCTGCTCACTAGTTAAGTTTCTATTAAATAATTTTATCAATAATTTTTATTAAATAATTTTATCAAATAATTTTATTAAATAATTCAATGAAATTTTATTAAATTTTATTAAATTTTATTAAATCGTCGCGCATTACTGCATTGTTGCTTATTGCAGGAAAGTAAGGTGGAAGCACTGCCAGCGACGTAGAGCACACCGTAATGAAAGTGAAAACGGCCAAAAACTTCATAGCTGTACTGTAAAGCCAAGGCAAAACAGACTAACGGTTAAGCTATCGAGTCCACGTTGTTTTCAAATAAAACAACCTGGCCTGCCGACGCACGCGGCCTAGCGAAGTAGCCAGGCGGCTAAGCGGCAAGGAAGTCGCAAGAAAGTCGCAGCTAAGTCGTAAGAAAGTAGCGAGAAAGTAGCAGCTAAGTCGCAAGAAAGTAGCGAGAAAGTAGCAGCTAAGTCGCAAGAAAGTAGCAGGAAAGTCGTAGCTAAGTCACAAGAAAGTAGCAGCTAAGTCG